TTTGTTAAAGTTATGTGTGTATCAGAAATGCATGTCAATAGTGCGAGAAAGCAGTACCTTACACCGTCAATACTGATTATCCCTTTGTGGTAGGATTTGATTTGTTTTTTCCTTGTACTTCCCTGCATATGTATATTTTTTATTTTCCAGTCAACATAAGTTGCTTTTTTTATGATTTAAAAAAAAAAAAAAAGAAGAAGCCAGAGCTACTCGTGGATATTTTTTATGTCAGCTGCCCAGCAATTCAGAGAATACCCAAATCACATGATTTTCAAAATATGTATGAAGTAGGGAACATTTGAATAATAGGCCACAGATGATTGGATTCTAAAATTACGCATCATACTGTTTCTGTTCACATTGTATTTTGAATAGATTTGGCTTCTTGTATGTTTTCCCCTTTTTTGCCAGTGGAAGACGGGTTCAGTTCTGTTGCATATAATATTGAAATAATGCACTGAAAATGGAAAATGGAAGTTTCTTAACACTGGGGCAGCATTTGCAAAGTGAAATATAAGCAAAGGTGACTAACGTGGGCTTTCTCTTTGAATCATTGAATTCGATCATCTCCCCGAGGGCGATGTAACCTGCAGGCTGTTAATACATAGTGAAAGCTGACCTCAGGAAAGGTTCGCTCAGTGGATTAGATCAGTGCCAGGTAAAGACAGTATCATTTTGAATTAAGAGAGACAAAAACAGCTAAACAAAGATTCTCGGCTACGTTCTGTAATTCCAAGAGAATCCAAGTCCAGCCCCTTGTCTTCTGGGAAGGTGTTATTATGTGGCTTAAGGGAGGTTTAAAAATATCGGCTTCCTACGTAACTGGTAATAAGTTATTTAAACAGTGACTCTGCTTCCCAGAAGTTCTAAGAAATGCAGACATTTTATCCTCATAACCACTCGGGAACCCATAAACTGTATTTCCTGAACCCCAAAAAGGAAGCAAACATACATATGAACGATGTGTGTAATACAATACTTGAACTCCTGTCCGTCCTCTACTATTAATACAGAATGTCACTGTGATGTATCGGCGGGGTCAGAGTCTTACGCAGTTCAGGTGAGCTCAGGAAAGGTTGCCAGACTCAGCACAGTTCCAAGAATCTAGTAGGTACGCAAGTGTCCACTAGACTCGTCATTTGGGTTTGGGGTTTTTACTTCTTGGAAAAGCAACAGTGCCACATTTATTTGGCAGCAGCAGGAGGGCAGGTTCTATGATAGGAGTTAAATTGTACGTGTGGCTTCATTTAATGTCATCTCTACTCTTACTTTCGGTTAAAATAACACATCCATACCCATGAAACATAGGGCTTAAGCCTCAACTCTAACCTGGTCTATGACCTCAAAGCACCTGCTCCCCACCCCCCCCCCCTCCCCGCCCACCCTGACCTCAAAGCACCTGCTCCCCACCCCCCCCCGTCATGCCACACCCCCTCTGACGCCTGAAACCAACTCTATCTTTTGATAGATAGTTTTGACTCCTCACTAATCTTTCCTAAGGTTTGTGCCATCCCTTCCTGGCTGATTTAGAAAGAGGGCTCTGTCTATAGGAATGATCGCCTGGGACAGCGTGTGCCTCTGTGGGTGATGAAGGCACCCCCCAGTGCACTCTGCAACAGCACGTGCTCTTTGTGGGCATTGTTTTCCAAAAACCATAGACAAAAGAGATCAGGAGGTCACAGGGCCTGCTTTGCCAACCCAAAGGGCCTACGAGGCTCTTGAACATAATTGTTTTCCAGCCTGTATGTCTCCAGAGGATGTGAGATTAGAGTGGAAAAAGAAAAAAAATAAAAGCTATAAACACCGTAGACAGCTCACACACTTTGTCAGAAGCTTATACTATTTCCCCCCTCATACTTAAGGAGTGTTAACTTGTCCAGAACTTTCAGAGCATTCTCTGACCCACTTTAATTAGTTTTATTAGGTTTGTTGTCTGTGTGTGCTTCTGTTTTTGTTTTTTTTTTTTTACATCTGTGTATTTACTTCTTCCATGAGAGAGGGAGGCAGTGAGAGAAAGAGGCAGGCAACCCTAATGGGGTTCTCATGCCACTAGCCAACTCCCAGGTTCAGCCAGCTGGAATCATAGGCACACGCATGTACCCTGTTTGCTTAGAGGTTCCAGGATATAAACCCAAAACCTTTCCCATGTGGGCTCAGTTGTGTTACCACCAGTAACACCATTAATTTTTTTAAAGACATAATATATACATACGTTACAAATCGAAAATGTTCACAGCAGTAGAAGGAGGGCCCCAAGGTATTTGCTAGATGTCTGGGCAGTGAGCAGCTTCCAGGATGAGGTGCCCAGAGTCACAGTGCAGTCTCCAGCCTCTGTGCCTTCCAGGAGCTTATTGTCCCATCAGTGTGGCCATATGAAGAACTTGCGATCTGCTGTTCCTCCTTGGGATATACACATGGACCCCAGAGCCCTGTCCATTGCTGACCTGGGAGGCTTCCCTCACAGCCCACAGGCTCACACAGAACCCAAACCTCCTGCGGATGCCTCCATAGGGAGCAGGGGGAGAAGAAGGGGCCCATGGGCACCTTGGAGACTGCTTCTCATGGGTAAATCCTTGTCGGGATTATCTAAGTTAGTTGGAGAGAATCTAATCGTGTCCAACAAAAGAAGTGGAGTTTTGGTTCTTTTTCTTTCACGATATTCCTGAACTTCCTCAAGAAAAGGGAGAAATGTCACACTGCAGGAAAGCTTTGGCTGTATATCTCTCCTAGGACACTACGTTTATAAAACCTGGGCATTCTTACTGGAATAAAGGAGAGCTTTGTTGTTTGCATCGTTGCACATAGTAGCAGATAATTTTTAAGTAGCAGTCTTTCATAATCAAGTAAATTAATAAACATATGAACATGTGTAAATGAGAAAGTTGGTGTCCAGATAGGTGTGAGATGGTGAGTAGGTAGGATGGGGCTATACTTGCCACACACCCTGATGCTATGTAAACATGTGCAAATTAAACAGTCACTCAGTCAAATAATCTTAGGAATGTCCATGAGGTATTTTGCGCTGTCAGAAGGTTAGACCATAATTATGAAAGAAATGCAGACAGCAATTTATCATATGGGTTAGAGGGTTCTGGGAAGACTTTAGGGAGGAACAGGGGAGGTTGAACTAAGTTGGAATTATTGATAAAATTTTAAAAAGACAGAAATGAGAAAGGCAGTTCTCTGTGTTTAACCATGGGGTCCAAAGTATAAGCTGTGTTTTAGGAATTGTGAATAAACCAGTTCTGCTGGGATGGTAAATGTGATTATGTGAACACTGAGAAATAAAGAGGACATTCTAAAATCCTTTCTACATATCTAGGTGCTTTTTATAGGACAAAGGTTGCTCCGGGTTTTTGTTTGTTTGTCTTTTCTTTCAAATCCATCATGGTTAAATACTGTGGTTAAATCTATTAGCCTGAAATCTTTATATGAACTCTTAAGGAAGGAAATAAAAGATTGTGCATGATGATAAGGTTATTTCATAAATATGCATTCTGCTTTTTAGGATATTCTAGACATACATTTGACACATGTAAAAATAGAAAAGGGCAGAAGATATATTCCGATATCGTCGTCAATTCGTGTTTTGTGCCCTTTCTCAAGTAGGAGGCTTTGGAGTGGGATTTTTCCATGTGTCAGAGAGACATCAATAGGTTCCTTCATGAGCCTTTTCTAGCAATGGCTCTTAGTCGGGATTGCGAGCACAGAAAGAGTATAGTACTTCATGGAGCTCTGCAGAATGTTGTGTCTGGGACTGAGTTATTTTTCCACCCCCTTCGTTCAGCTTTCCCGACTGTAAGAACTACAGCCAGTTTGTTCAAGAGAATCATTGAACTCCTTTGTGTTTATGTTCTTTTTTTTTTTTTTATATTCTAGACATACATTTGACACATGTAAAAATAGAAAAGGGCAGAAGATATATTCCGATATCGTCGTCAATTCGTGTTTTGTGCCCTTTCTCAAGTAGGAGGCTTTGGAGTGGGATTTTTCCATGTGTCAGAGAGACATCAATAGGTTCCTTCATGAGCCTTTTCTAGCAATGGCTCTTAGTCGGGATTGCGAGCACAGAAAGAGTATAGTACTTCATGGAGCTCTGCAGAATGTTGTGTCTGGGACTGAGTTATTTTTCCACCCCCTTCGTTCAGCTTTCCCGACTGTAAGAACTACAGCCAGTTTGTTCAAGAGAATCATTGAACTCCTTTGTGTTTATTTTCTTTTTTTTTTTTTTTTTTTTGAAGGGTAGACTCATACAAAGCTTAGTTACCTTTGGATTGCTTACTTTAGAAATAACCAGATTGCACATGAGGCAGATAGCGATATATATGCTTTTATCAGCAGATAGCTGCAGACATTAATAGACAGAGTTACTGAATTTGTTTTTGCTAAGATATTGTTTACTGAGCAGTCATCAAAAAGGAAGTGAATTTTGCCAATTCACTTGTGAATGACTAAAGTCTATTAAAAGACATGTGGTTTAAGTTAATGCACATCATCTATGAGATATCCCTCTTTTTTTGGGAAAAACAAAGCTGGAACACTGAGAGCAGTGAGGTTAGCATAACGGGCAGGTCTCAAACTGCATGTGTATGTATATCTGTATTATCTTTGGCCTAACTTTTGCAAGGAGAATTGTTAAACTCCCATGTTACGAGGTAATATTTGTCTGGACCTGTGTAGTGCACTTGATATGTTTAACAGATGCAATTGCCTAAGATACTGGCATTGGAAAATGACTTCCTTTTCAGAATGAAATTTTTGAACCATTTTATGTATTTTCTTGATTTAATTTAGAATGTGTATTAACGTTTTGCAGAGATTTGTATGAGCCTATGGGACTGTGTTTTAATGAATGATAGGTGACCATCACTGAGCTATAGAATAATGTGGTAGAATTTTATGCATTCTTTTCGTACTGTTTGATAAACAAGATACTCTGGACCCAATCTGTCTTCCTCCCAAAAAACTGGAAAAAGGCTGTATTTTTTCTCGCACTGTAGATTGGCGGGTGCTGCAGCCTCACTGTGTTCTGTGTACGGGACAATAGACTCACCCGGATACCGGCAGAGGTGTCGCAGGCAACAGAACTCCACGTCCTGGATGTGGCAGGGAACAGGTAAGCGTGCTCGGGTTTGCTTTGCTTGAGAGAAACAAAGGTGCGCACACTCCCATCTGGGCCATGCATCCTCATGGTGTTGACCTTGCCGCCTCTTACAGAACACGGCACTGATTAGTCAAGCGACTCAGGCCCTCGGGAGTTCTTGGTGTGGGAGCTGCAGTGATTGAGCCTGAGGGAGTGGAAAGGTCAGGAGTGTCCTGAGCATGGAGTTCTTAAAGCTTCAATGTACACTTTGTAGAAAAGCTTCCCGGAATGACCGTGTGAGGATGGCAGGGGAGGAGCACTGGCTGAGCGCAGGAGCACAGGGTCTCCCTGAGCTCTGACAACTAGCTTTTGTAAGTTTCCATGGGCCTCAGCATGTCCTCATGTGCAAAATGAGCTTGAATGAATTCGAACTCTGTTTTAACCAGGGCTCTTGATATGCTCTGTTGGCTATGCTAACCCCCCTGAAATGATAAATTACAGTGTGATTTCAGGGACATTTTTCTAGTGAGAAGCTCCGCAGCTCATATGAGAATCTCCAAGTGATCATGATCCAAAAGAAGTTCAGAGCCACCAGCCTGGTATCCCCCCAGTTGCAGCAGTGCCATTCCAGAAGTTTCCCAGGCAGTGGGCGTGTTGAACTGCTCACCAGTTTCCTGCATTCACCTGTTCTTTGCTTTTGTAAGATACGGATTTGTCTGAGCCATTCAGAGCTAACTTGAGCACCTCATGTGGCTTACACACATTTTCCCCCTAGAGCCTATGCAAGCTCTTCTTTCTACCTGGGACCCTCTTCTCTGTCTCCCCATCTCCCTTCTTCATCACACATGCTGCATTTCCTCCAGGACGCATTCTCCCTGAGTCCGCATTTAGAATTGTCCCCTGCCATACCACTCACAGCTCTACTTGATAATTGCCTGTGTGTATGTATGTAACTCAAAGTCAAATATTTAGGTTTCTTCTTGTATCACCTATGCCTTCATAGTCTCTGACATGCAATGGATGCTTGGTGAATTATTCATTGATGGAATGAAGATGTAATAGTTTTGCAGAATGAATAGCAGGGCAGTGCAAAACATCTTGTATCACAGACTGTGTTGCCAAAAGGAATTTAAAAATTGCTTTCAAGTATGATACGGTTAGATAGAAGAAGCATTCAGCTGGGGGTGGGGGGTGGGGAGATGATCAATGACTTTAAGTGGCAAAGGCCAGTGGTCTGAAGAATGTTTGAGGGACTTTCTCTTAACGGCTGATTAGCTGGTTGCTTAGGTCAGGCCCAAGCCACCATTTTTTATTCTCGCTAATGGATTATAGACAGCAGGGCTAAACGAACAGCAGTACCCAGCTGGAATCTGGAGGTGAGTTATGGCCTCAGGAAATGCTCACCTTTTTAAAGTTAATACTTCCAGGAAATTTTGATAGATTCTTAAGATCATTAACTGGTGGCAAGAACCTCAGGATTAATTTGAACTGAATGTTGAATTTCTGCTGGACTAAGCATAGCATGAGCTTTTCATAACTCGAGAAAGGCAGTTCTTCCCAGACCACTCACTTCCAGCGGTAGACTCTCAAAGACCCTAAACATCCCTGATTCTTGCCACACCGGTGGGGATGAATTTGAGTCATTAATTCTTGAGCAGAAAGATGGATCTGATGTCCAAAAACAGTTTTTCAGATGAGCAAAGGCCCCACTCTCTAGTTCTCAGGGGAGAGTTAAGTTTTTATTATGCTTGGGCTAGGGTGGAGAAAATCCCATTAAGAAGTCGAGTCACATAGTTGGTATCTGACTCAGTTAAGTGTGTCATTTAGCGCATGTATATATAGATTCATAACCAAATTTTAAGCCTATTAAATATTTAATCGCTACTTATTTAAAGTATTAGTATGGAAGCTAATAAAAAAAAAAAGTGGCTACCTTGTCAGCCTCTTAGCTCACAGAAATGTCACACCGTGGGAAATTATACCAGATTCAAAAGAAGTTTCTGCCTCTTTTCCCGAGCATGTAAAACTAGCAAATGGCAGTAGGGAAACTACATGCTCGTTTCCAGGAACTTTTCTTTTACAAGTTTGGTAGGATAAATTGCAGTAAAGATTACTATAAAGTGTCCACTTGGAAACTAAGGTACCCAACTGCCTGTGGCCATGAGGAAGAAGGTGTCTAGTATCGTCGGCTACCCATGGGTACCGAGCACAGAATTCCTTAATGAGGCTCTCCATTAGAAATATCCATCAAGGGACCAGCAGTTAGCGTAATGGCTATGTCGCTGGACTCCCATGTAGTCGACCATGGTTCATGTCCCAGACCCGGTGGCTTAAAACTCAAGCCAGTCGCATGGCCCAAGATCCCAAGAGGAGAATGGAGGAGAAGGGATTGCGGCGTGGCCATCCCC